GTTGCACTACAGATAACGTGTTTGCATGCAAAACATACTCAGTTTAAAGCTTATCAATCAAGACTGAACACGTTTCTGTTTCTGGTGTCTTTTAAATCTAAATATTATTAATATTATCTTATACAGAATACAGAACAGTGTTTTCTACTTCTTCTATTCCATTTAAACTTGTTTTTTCTATTCTCTTTACTCTTCAAAGAGGCCCTTGTTCTGCTTGTTGTGGTGTTCCCTCTCCTGTGGTTTGTTCCATAGGTTTTACTGCATCATGTAGCCTACATGGTCTGCAAACGCTAAAACACGCTAACATGTTGTGTTTAAATATGCATACGAGGCATTATGTAATGCTATCTGTTCGTGAATTTATGAGAAACAAACAGCCAAAGTTAGCAAAACATGACCTTAAATGACACTTCACCTCTTATAAATCTGGAATGCATTGCACCGGAGTACTTACCATATAAATTAAAAACACAGAGTAGGATACGCATGTTAGAATAAATGTATGCCAGCCTCCAAAACAAACACAAACAACGTCGGAGGATATAATTTGAAATGCAATGTCCGTGAGAATAATATATTTTATTTGTTGTCTTTTTGCAGGTTTTTAGAAAAGTTGTACCTTGACATTTCTGTTTTAGGTCAATCTTAAGACAGAAAATATGTCAAAAGTGCAGGTTTTTTATAAAAAAATAATACATTTAATTTATAATAATAATAAACAAGGCAGATTTCTCTTTTCACCATCTGTCTGAAACCAGAGCCCAGTCTGCTCTGATTGGTTAGCTGGCCGGCTCTGTTGTGATTGGTCAACCGCTTAGAGATGTCCCGCCCCTTAACCTATCACGTACAATGTGTTGGAGCGCTAGCCAATAGGAGCACAAGTGTGACGTCATTATGTTCCAGAAGTTAAAAAAATAGGGCCTCTTTAAAAGGAGATCACTTTAAATATATACTTTGATTCACTGCGATAAGACAATTAAATATAAAAACATTAAAACAGACAAATATATATAAAAAATATTCCAGGCAACATCAAACTTCGTTGACACCTATTTATTGAATATTCACACATACAAAAGAACACAGCGGCTCATTTTACACTTCATCATCATCATCATCATCATAATAGCAGTAATGATAGACATATAATCATAATAATCATACTGTGTTAAAATCAAATAATAACAATGTTTTTAACATTTTATATTCATAATAAGTAGACATATTCCTGTTTCACTGTAAATTACAAATATCCAGTGATCACATTCCACCTTGCATCAAACAGCAAAAATAATCAATTAAATTAGGTTATAATGCAACACACACACACACACACACACACACACACACACACACACACACACACACACACACACACACACACACACACACACACACACACACACACACACACACACACACACACACACACACACACACACACACACACACACACACACACACACACGTACATTTGGATATATAACACCCAGTGTCGCCCAGCGACTGTGTGCACGTTTTTTAATAATTCATAAAAGTTTGAAGTTTAAATAATCCCCAGGTCTATGTTTAATATCTTTGAAGTGTTTTTGGCTGCTTTGGAATAATAAATGTTACAATCACACACCTTTTAAATATCAGCACCCTCTTATGTTCAGAACAGGAACACACATTTATGTTATTTTTCAGTCAAAAATATAACTAGTTCACACAGAAAATGTTCCAGGAGAAGATCATTTGTGTTGTTAAGTAACATAATCATATGAATCCCTTTAATTATCTGAATTAAAGCCATTTTGTTTGTGATTCCTGGATTCTGAGGTTGTCTAATGTTGTGATAATGGCTGCTTTTGTATTTCCGTTATATTTACGTCCGGAGAAAAGGCCCTACCTATGATGCATAAATCAAGGCTTAAAAGGCCGTGCAGCTTTCTGAGCACTGCAGTTTGCACACATGCACGTATACTGAAAATGATATATTGTGCTTTACAATCAATATTTATCCTGGGAGAGATAAAATAAAAATGCTAGAGGATTTATAAAGTTAAGAAAGACACCTGACTGGGGACATTATGTCCATAACAAACACGGTTATTTTCTCCTCTTTGCCGATAGAAAAATAGCAGCAGGTGAAGTCAGGCATCACAGATGTTACAGTTCCTCTGCTGAAGCAATGATTTATTTTTTAGCAAAGTTTTAATAAATCTTGTGGGTATTGAAGAGGGGAAAAGGCACGCCCATGAAGCTTAAACACAGGAAAGCATTTTAATGTGTATGCTGGACATGTTCTGGAAGAGGATGTACCGGGGAATCTGTTACCTCAACCTGACCTCTGGACATTTTGAATTCAGGTCCCCACATTCATGCAGAATTATCTCGACAACTATTGGATGGATTTCCAAGACATTTAGCACAGATATTCATGGTTCCCAGAGGATGAGTCCTACAGACTTTTCTCATTGCTCTGTATTTTCTAATAGCAGCAACTGCAGGCAGCACTGCTAGATAACGAAGAAATAGGCGTAATAGTGTTTTGTTTATTTAAAGGACACCTACAAATCAACCCACTTAGAGGATAGGATAGAGCACATGTGTCAAACTCAAGGCCCGGGGGCCAAATCCGGCCCTTGGTGGATTTAATTTCGGCCCGCAGGATAATGTTTAATTACTATTAGATCTGGCCTGCCGGTATATTGCACGCACACCTTCACTCCATCCTGAGGAGTTCCTCAGCTCAGAGCCTGACCCCAAACATTGATGAACTTGCACCCAAGATGAGATGCCAAGTATCTGGCTTGAACTAGCATCACAGAGCAGCACACAGAGTTTACATGGATGTTTCCTTCTGCACTTTTTTTATTGAGACAACAGAGCATGTTTTTTGAAGCTGTTGGAAAAATGTAATCATGAGAAATGACTCCGGAAAAGCCATAAGAAATTAATGCAACCGATTTTGTAATGTTTAATGTTGTTTTTATAGGCAATAATTTAACCTTTGTTAGTTCCAGGTTTAATATGTGCAATAAATTCATTCAATAAACATTGAACCAGTCCGGCCCTCGACTAGTACCGATTTTTTTATTTTGGCCCACTGTGTATTTGAGTTTGAGGGACATGAGAAGAAATGACGAAACACAGACGTAGGATCATTATTTTTCCCTCTGTTATTTAATTTAAATGAGACATACAGTAGAAGATTAGATAATCTGCCAATTCAAGTGTCACATAATGGTTAAATTATCGTACATTTTGGCACCTTTTGCATTATTGAAAAGTAAAAATACCATAAATATCTGGCAAAGATGTCCCTTGTTCTGTTAAACATCTCAAAATGTACTTGTTTAGTTGGCACCAAATGTTGTTCATGACACCCAGAGGTCAGGTCCGCACTACAAGTCTAACCACAGGGTGTTAAAAAAGAATTCTAATTGAAGTTACGAGAGCCACAAGCTGGCTAGAAAGATAACATTCGCTAGCTAGTATAGCTTCCTGTATTTGTGCTAAACATGACTTTGCATTGCTCCATATTGTTTCCTGTTGAGGAGGCTGTTGCCCAAAACAACGTCCAGTACATCGTTCCCTTTCCTGGTTGCTTCAGCGGGACATAATCAGTTTGAGAACAAATTACAAACCACATTTTGTAATTTAAAGCGACAACATTAAGATTCTTCCCTTTCTGTAATAACTATACATTAAATAAAGAAACAATGATAAATTCTCATTGAAAAAACTCTGAACATCAATAACTTATTTAGCTATAAACCTCTCTGCATTTCAGTAACAGTATTACAAAACTACCAGGATTTAGTCACCTACAGTAAAAAAAAAGCAGAATGTAGCGCGGCGCTGTAGCACCTTATTGAAAGAGCTTCATCATAATTTACAACACACTTTAATGCACAAACCTGCCCGCTCTCATGATCATTACACAAAAAAAACCCTCCTGTAGTTTATTACAGACGATACAGAAGCTAAGCCACTAAGAGAAGCGCCTCGTGTGCACGGATGAGGATATGACAGTGATGCGGATCTCCCAGGGATCATTGCAGCAATACACCAAAGTTAATAAATGCTCCAACCAGCAACTCTGAAACTTTAAAGTATTTTAGAAAAATCCAAAGTTACCATATTTACTGCCAACTGTAACTTCATATTTAAAGTACAGACTTAATTATGATTAAAAGCTTAGGCCATTGCTGTTTTTAGCTTCTCTTATTTGGATTATTTGCTGCTTTTCTCAGTTTAATATCATATTGAATATCTTTGAATATTTATCATATCTACTTGGACTCTGGAACCTGGGATGCACATTTGTTAATATTTTCTGAAACAATCTGGAAAATAATCTGAAGGGTAATATATAATGAAAAGAGTCGCAACCAAATCAGATATATCAATATTCTCATCTAACACTTGGCAAGAAAGCAAATAGGAGCAATGTCCAACATATCTTATATTGCTTTAAAGGTCACCTATTATGCAAAATCCACTTCTTCATGTCTCTTCTACATCAACATGTGTCCCCTCTTCTTCATGTCTCTTCTACATCAACATGTGTCCCCTCTTCTTCATGTCTCTTCTACATCAACATGTGTCCCCTCTTCTTCATGTCTCTTCTACATCAACATGTGTCCCCTCTTCTTCATGTCTCTTCTTCATCAACATGTGTCCCCTCTGTGTAAAGAGACTCTGAAAGTTTCAGGAACAAAGATTCTCTCTCTTTTTGTCCTGATCCATTTATATAAAAACCTGTCTGAAAATGAGCTGATCAGATTTTGGCCACTTTGTGATGTCATAACGATGTTTTGGCTTGTGTAACCATTAGCCAATCACCAACCCCCCCCCCCACCTTATCACCTGAATCTCCTCCTAGAGCACCATTGTGTTCTTTGTAACCAAATCTCTCTCAGAGGGGCGTGGGGAGGGGCTCCTTATTTTCATCTAAAGTAACAGACAGAGAATCAGCACTTTGGAAACAGGGCTGAAACAGAGGGGATTATGGGATGCTGCAATGATCTGATTGGTGTTTGGAGCCAAACACTTCAGAGACATGTTTTGTATATATCTGAGACCTGTGATATATTGATGAAAAACAGTATAATAGGGGACCTTTAAGCGGTTATTATGATCACTGCACATATTTTGAAACAGGATTTTCTAACTAACTGTAACTCGACAGAACAGATTTCAAAGCACGGTGCATTTCAGAGCTGCAGTTTGTCCAAGTGTCCAAGGTTTATGCATGATAAAGGCATGGCTTTGGGCCTCCTACAGAGAGGAGGGGGGGGGGGGGTTATAGTTACTGACAGGCAGGATGAACCCTGGGAAATCCTGGAGAGTTTTCCCCCGCCGCGGTCAGTGTTCAGCAGGCCGAGTTGGCCGGATCTGCCTCCCCAGTGGTGTAGAAATCAGGGATGGGCAGACCAGTGTGCAGCGTGATCTGCAGAAAAACACATTTACATACAAAAAACTGCATATTTAACCATAACATTTGAAAAAACACAAATATTTTTCAATTACTGCTTACATTGTTTTGTTTTGAAGGGCCGATTATATTTATTCTAACAAGCATATCCTACTATGTGTTTTTAATTTATATGGTATGCAGTCGAGTGCAATGCTTTCCAGATTTTCAAAAGGTGATTTAAGGTCATGTTACTAACTCTGTCTGTTTGTGTCTGCAGATTTCTCTTAAATTCACCAAAAAATAGCATTACAACTAATTTGTCAGAAAACGTGTAATATAAAGTGTTAATGTCAGTAGTGAAGTGGGGGGGGTTTCATGGTGATATCTGCTTATTCCCCTGCAGTTTCTCAGCTGTAATATATGTCCAGCCTGCAGAGGGCGCTGCTGGATTATCTCTCAGTAAACAGAGCAATAAGACATTTAAAGCCATCACTGTTGTTGAGTCTTTGAAGCTTCCTCCTTCAAGCTTTAATCCTCTGTGTTTGTAAAACTGAAAAAGCAGTTTTAATGAATAATAACTGAACTCATAATCTAAGTTAAAAACTCTGCATCTGCCTGCAGCGTAAAGACGGCTCAAACAACCCTGCAGCTGTTTCTGCAGCTAATGGAGCGGTGCATGAATCAAAGCGTTCGGAAATCACTTGAATAATATATCCTCAGGTTATAAATACATTATGAATAGTTAAACGGTGGGAACTAGGAAGAGGACATGCCATAATGTGTTCTGATTGGTTTAAAGCCTTGATATGGTTTGGGTAAAAATCTAACTGACATTTTTAGGTCAATTGCAAAAAAATAAAATCATATTTTAAACAATAGTCAAAGAAAGGATTTGTTAACAATTGACAAAGATTGCTAACATTATTTGTATTAAATGTCTATTATACACACATATTTGACACCACATATACTTGCATATCAGATGTGTAATTAAGTCGATTATTTGTTTAAATCATTTAGAATCAGTAATATTTTTGTATATCAATTTGACATTGCTTAAAGGTCCCATGTCATGGCCATTTCTACTGATCATAATTCCATTGTTGAGGTCTACTAGAATAGATTTATATTGTGCAATGTTCCAAAATCACATTGGTTTCTCATACAGCATCTCTGTATAGTATGTGTATTCACTCTCTGTCCTTAACGGCTTGTTGGAGCTCCTGCCCCCCTTTCTCATGCAACATTTTTGTATTATTGTTTTACACGTTCGAAATAAATCTAATCAAATCAAAAAATATCTTTCCACCAACTTGATGGCAATCTGAGTAGAACATTTTCATCAAAATACATTTTAATATCAGTTAATGGCACAAATGGGTAAGCTTACTCATCTTAGCATAGGGTATGGAACTGGGGAAGCTAACAAGACACTAAAAGATCTTTTGCTGTTTTATATGGCTCTTTTCTTGGCTTGGACCAATGACTTCCTGTTGTTTTATCACCTCGGTGTTTGTTCATTTGGCTAGTTTTCCCCTCCATTTCCGCTATTAATGCAAAGCTAAGCTGACCCTCTTCAACTGCAGGAACTTTGACTGCAGCTACTACACAAAAACGAGACAATAAGGGGTGTATGTTAGGGATTATTTTTCTAAATTAACTACAGAATATAGTGTTGGGAAAATACTGAATGTCCTCTTCCAACATGAGAGCAACATGCTAACAAAGGTATCCCAACTGTAGCTGTGAACATGACAGGATGTATGATTACCTAGAAGAGCATCAGGACTGTTTGAGGCATATGATAGCTATGTGATTAACATGATGATTCAGCCTCTATGGAGAGAGACATATGACAAGCATGATCATTTCTGACGTGGAGCTAATCTGAAGTAAACATTGAATACTGCTTTCTATTCCTCCATCTTGTGACTGTGTAACTCCCTCTCTTGGATATCAGCATGTGAAGGACACTGTTCAGGAACTAGTTGATGCTCTGTATGTGATGACTACTTCCATTCTGGAGAGGATCAGAAATACATGGATCCTGAGATTGAAGCTCAAGCCGGGGACCAGGGAGATTTTTCCAACAGTAAGCATTTCAAATGAAATATGTCTCTGTACCTGTACGTTCCTGTTGAGGCTGATGGCGGGGTAGTAGACGCCCTCCAGGCCCTGGAAGGCGACCGGCCCCTGCTGCTCGTCGTTGATGAGGAAGATGAGGATCCCTCGGGTGAAGTCCATCAGGATTCCTATCGTGGCTCCTTTACTGATGCCGCCGTCCGTCCTAAACACACACAGACATGATGAAGTTGTTTACCTGTCAATGTCTTTACTTTAAGTTGTGTTTACCTGTTGGTGTGTGAGTTGTGTGTGTGTGTGTTTTACCTGTAGTTATTTACCTGTGTGTTTGTTTACCTGCTGGTGTGTGAGTTGTTGTGCATGAACAGGTTGGTGTTGTGGGGTGTGGGTGTGTGTGTGTGTGTGTGTGTGTGTGTGTGTGTGTGTGTGTTGTACCTGTTGGTGTGTGAGTTGTATGTGTGTGTGTGTGTGTGTGTGTGTTTACCTGTTGGTGTGTGAATTGTTGTGCATGAACAAGGACAGGTTGGTGGGGTGTGTGTGTTTGTGTGTGTGTGTTGTACCTGTTGGTGTGTGTGTGTGTGTGTGTGTGTGTGTGTGTTGTACCTGTTGGTGTGTGAGTTGTTTATGTGTGTTGTACCTGTTGGTGTGTGTGTTGTACCTGTTGGGGTGTGTGTGTGTGTGTGTGTGTGTGTGTGTGTGTGTGTGTGTGTGTGTATGTTGTACCTGTTGGTGTGTGAGTTGTATGTGTTGGTGTGTGAGTTGTATGTGTGTGTGTGTGTGTGTGTGTGTGTGTGTGTGTGTGTGTGTGTGTGTGTGTGTGTGTGTGTGTGTGTGTGTTGTACCTGTTGGTGTGTGAGTTGTTGTGCATGAACCAGGACCGGTTGTTGTCGACGTACATCGACCAGGCCTTGTCGTCCTTCCCCAGCATGACGTCCTTCAGCACGTCGCTACGGGCAACGCCGAACGCCGGGTCGGGGTGGTTGTCATAGCGATCGACCGTCATCTCCCAGTAGTGAACACCGCGCGACAACGCAGAATTACCCATAACCACCCTGTCATCGTAGCTGTTGCACGACACCGTCAGGTTGTCGTTGGACAGGATGATGTCCTGGTGGGCCGAGGCCGGGTCGAAGGTGAACCAGGAGACTACGCGCACGCACACACACACACACACACACACACACACACACACACACACACACACACACACACACACACACACACACACACACACACACACACACACACACACACACACACACACACACACACACACACACACACACACACACACACACACACACACACACACACACACACACACACACACACACACACACACACACACACACACACACACACACACACACACACACACACACACACACACACACACACACACACATTAGTGACATCACAACAGCTGATGACGACTGCACACTGCAGGTGAGATGAGGCTGGAGGTTAGATGAGGTGAGTTTCACTGTAAAAACTTCTTAAATGAATATTAAATATAAGACGAGATTAGATGACTTACTATAATTGTTATGGCTAATACATCTTAGCATTATACTCTATTACTCTATAACTTAACTTATTTATAATAAAATCACACCCGTGTCAGACAGTCTGCAAATATATCTGGCGTTTGTTTTCATCAGCTTGGAGACTCGACATTATATAATGTTATTAATAAATAGATTTTGAACTATATATTTGAATTATTTCTTATTATCTCTGTTATCATAAAAGGTCAGTTCACCCAAATGAAAAGAGGAAAACACGATTTAGCAGACCAAAATAAATATTTAATTGTGTTATTATGATTATTTGGTGAAAGCAAATGGAGCATTTCAGCACTTTTTTGCAGCATTTTGGACTTTTTGAAAAGTGATGTGTGCTAAATGTTTGCTTCCAGTTATCTTTATAGGATTATGATATGGTGATAGCTGGGAGGAGACCGAGGGGCAGACCCAGGACCAGGTGGAGGGACTTCATCTCTGCGAAAGAGAAGTTTGGGTCCCTCTGCTGGAACTGATACCTCCACGACCCGGTAGATGATGGATGGATATGTTACTAAAACAGATTCTGCGTCTGTTTACGCACTTTAAACATAATTTAACGCACATTCATTGCATGGCCTTGGTGGTGAGTAAAACCCTAACCACCTGCAGGGATACATATTTTCAGTTTGAATTATTCTTTGTAATTAGTTTGATCTGTTCACACACATCACAGGCTGAATCAGACGCTGATAACGGTGCAGACTGTCGGACTGTTATTAACATGTTATCCTCTACACACAGATATGGGGCTGCACAGGGGGGCTGTTTGCTCCACTTCCCTGTCACTGTGAGCAGTAACGTTTATAACACCGCTTTATTTCCCACAGGACAGAAAGATCTTTATTAACAGGAGCAGCAAACAGACCCTCTGCAGGGGGGAGGAGAACTGATGATGAGAGGGAGGGGGAGAGAGAGGAAGCAGGAGAGCCATACCTGAGCCTAGAGACTGAATATCACATGGAGGGAGTCCAGCTAGAAGAGGAGAGGAAGAGGGGGAGGAAGAGACGGAGGAAGAGCAGTGTAGCCGGGGAGCAAACGGTGAAGAGGAGGAGGAGGAGAAGTAAAAAAAAAAAGCAGGTAAACCAGCAGCAAACACTAAAGAGGCATGGGGGATTATTTTAAGTGTGAAGACAGGGGGCCAAAAGCGTCAGAGGCCCCTGAGACACAACCAGGAAGAAACTCAATCTGACTACAAAGAGACTGAAAACACAAAATGGGGCAAAACTGACACAGAATGACCCAAAAGAAAACAGAAAATGACTCATAACTGCAAATCAAGACACAAAATGAGAACAAAAATACAACAAAGAGACATATGATTACCAAAAAGGCACAAAAGAAACACAATGTGACACAAAATGACCAAAATAAAACCTCCAAAATGACCACAGAGTGACTTAAAATGACTATAGAGAGAACAAAGACTGCAAAAAGAGAAACTAAATGACCCAGAAATGTGACAAAATGATCACAGGGTGGCACAACATGTCCACATAGTATAATCTGTATAGTCTCTATATATATCTTAAACTTATAGAGAATACAATGTGTGTGTGTGTGTGTGTGTGTGTGTGTGTGTGTGTGTGTGTGTGTGTGTGTGTGTGTGTGTGTGTGTGTGTGTGTGTGTGTGTGTGTGTGCGTGTGTGTGCGTGTGCGTGTGCGTGTGCGTGTGTGTGTGTGTGTGTGTGGCCTAGCATTACTATACTTGTGGGGACCTAAATCTGTTTACACAGTCACGTGTGGGGACTGGCCTCCCTTATGGGGACAAAATGGAGGTCCCCATAACAATTAATTTTAGGGTGAAGACTTGGTTAGGTTTAGGGTTAGGCATGTGTTGGTTATGGTTAAGGTTAGGATAAGACTCCAGGAAATGCATGTAAGTCAATGTAATGTCCCCTGAAGTGATGTATACATGGTATGTGTGTGTGTGTGTGTGTGTGTGTGTGAGTGTGTGTGTGTGCGTCAAAGCTCAAACAGAATCCACTTCCTGCTGCTGCTGCTTCTTTTAAATCCTTGCAAGTAGAGAAGTTCACTTTATTTGACTTTAGTGTTAGATGAAAATGAAAGAGGGCGTTTGATGGCCCTCGTGTCTCTGAAAGACATAATTAAAAACTCAAAGTGCATATTTTCAAATCTGCCCAAATAACTTCTCTTTTCCCCAACATGTGTAAGAAGTGTTTCTGAAGATGGAGTCAGAAGCACTTTATTATTCAGTCAGGATTTATCAGATTTGAATGAACGCTGCACTCAGAAAGAGGAAGGAGAGTGAGCCGGGACCCTCGTCTGTGATCTGAAGTGATAAAGACGAATAACAACTATATTTGTATACGTTGTTAATTACCAGCAATTAAATACCTGCCAGTTGTTTGATCAAATTGGATTAATTAGGACATAAATCCAACATTATGTCAAAGAAGTCTATTAGACACATTTTGCATCATTAATGTGGAAGGCATTAAATAAAGCAACTAATTAATTGCTACTAATAATGATAGGAAATGGCTTGAATTAAAAAGTCAAATAATTACTATAAACATTTTTGACTAAGATCTATATTTTATAAATATTTAGCAAGCCGAACCCAATTCTTGTATTGGTTTTGAAAGATAAAAAAAAGTAATTTAGAAAATGATCCAGGTGTTTTTTAATTTGCCCTTTTAATATATGTTGCAGAAATATATTTGTCAGCGATCTCTGCTGGACAAACTGTGATACAGATCTTACATTGACATATATACAGTATCAGCCTCAGCCTCACTCTACTTCAGACTACTCTGAGATGGATGAAGTACTCAGATCTTGTACTTGAGTAAAAGTAGAAGTACTCAGATCTTGTACTTGAGTAAAAGTAGAAGTACTCAGATCTTGTACTTGAGTAAAAGTAGAAGTGCTCAGATCTTGTACTTGAGTAAAAGTAGAAGTACTCAGATCTTGTACTTGAGTATAAGTATAAGTACTCAGATCTTGTACTTGAGTATACTGTAAGTAGAAGTACTCAGATCTTGTACTTGAGTAAAAGTAGAAGTACTCAGATCTTGTACTTGAGTATAAGTATAAGTACTCAGATCTTGTACTTGAGTAAAAGTATAAGTACTCAGATCTTGTACTTGAGTAAAAGTAGAAGTACTCAGATATTGTACTTGAGTAAAAGTAGAAGTACTCAGATATTGTACTTGAGTATAAGTATAAGTACTCAGATCTTGTACTTGAGTAAAAGTAGAAGTACTCAGATCTTGTACTTGAGTAAAAGTAGAAGTACTCAGATCTTGTACTTGAGTAAAAGTAGAAGTGCTCAGATCTTGTACTTGAGTAAAAGTAGAAGTACTCAGATCTTGTACTTGAGTATAAGTATAAGTACTCAGATCTTGTACTTGAGTATACTGTAAGTAGAAGTACTCAGATCTTGTACTTGAGTAAAAGTAGAAGTACTCAGATCTTGTACTTGAGTATAAGTATAAGTACTCAGATCTTGTACTTGAGTAAAAGTATAAGTACTCAGATCTTGTACTTGAGTAAAAGTAGAAGTACTCAGATATTGTACTTGAGTAAAAGTAGAAGTACTCAGATCTTGTACTCTAGTAAAAGTATAAGTAGTCAGATCTTGTACTTGAGTAAAAGTACTCAGATCTTGTACTCTAGTAAAAGTAGAAGTACCAGAGTGTAGGAATACTCTGTTACAAGTAAAAGTCCTGCATTCAAAATGTTACTCAAGTAAAAGTCGTGAGTCTCTTTTCTTTTGGAAACTATCTCCAAATCCTGACTGAACGATAAGAAACAACGGAATTCAAAGTATTTCCTTAAAACATTTTAATATAATACTTAGAATTATAATACTTATAAATATGACTTAGAAGTATATATCTAGTATGAGGAGGAGATGATGCTTAACATACTATCAGAGATCTGCATCAGATTAATAAAGAAGTAGTATTTGATGTATTCACGTACTCTCGGAGGTCTGCATGACGAGGGTCTTGCTGTACTGGCCCAGCCCGCTGTTGTTGAACGCTTTCACCCGGGCTTTGTAGGTGCTGTTGAAGTGAAGCCCGTCCACCGTGCAGATGGTCTCCGTGCCCACGTACACTTCCTGTAACACACACACACACACACACACACACACACACACACACACACACACACACACACACACACACACACACACACACACACACACACACACACACACACACACACACACACACACACACACACACACACACACACACACACACACACACACACACACACACACACACACACACACACACACACACACACACACACACACACAGTTACAGAGACATGCAGTGTGCAGTGATGACACACACACAGAGTCTCTTCAGGATTTATTTTGTGAAACAGGAGAGTTTGTAGAGCAGAGAGTGGGAGAGGATCCCACACACTGTATAAATAGAGACGCAGACACACACACACACACACACACACACACACACACACACACACACACACACAACCTGACGAACTGTGTGTTGCAGCGTTGGAGAGCATCATGAGTCAGAGGAGGAGAGAAACTTGTTTTATGTTCACATTTGTTTTGGTGCTGTTTAGGTCAAACTAACCCGGTTACAGAAATAAAAGTCCCTCACACATATTCTCTTTAGGTCAATTCCCAACAGTGAAGTGAATGATTAATGTTTGCAAATATTCTCTGCTGAATCACGTTTCAATTTCCCTCTAAAGTAAAAATGTTTTATGATATACCAAGGTGCAGTGGAAACAGATAAGTTGCAGACCTCCGAGAGTGAGTGAGGCAGGGTCCTGCAGGATCAGAGCGTATATTTATCTTCTCAGGGGTCCGACATGTAATCCAAATACCCCGGGCCCCAACCTTCTGGACACACACAGAGAGGCCCCCGGCTCTTTGTTACATAGAAACTTGAAACCCCATGAACAATAACGGTATATCAATGGTGGAGGATATTTAAACCGTAAAGCTCCTCCTGCAGAACGGAGGGGCCGTTCACTCTTTGGAAACTGATCTGAGGGGTCTATAGAATCCTTTATCATCTATCCTGCTGATGTTCAGGTGTATATCAGTATGTAGTGTCTCTACTTTAAAGAGTCCTCTCCTGCTGATGTTCAGGTGTATATCAGTATGTAGTGTCTCTACTTTAAAGAGTCCTCTCCTGCTGATGTTCAGGTGTATATCAGTATGTAGTGTCTCTACTTTAAAGAGTCCTCTCCTGCTGATGTTCAGGTGTATATCAGTATGTAGTGTCTCTACTTTAAAGAGTCCTCTCCTGCTGATGTTCAGGTGTATATCAGTATGTAGTGTCTCTACTTTAAAGAGTCCTCTCCTGCTGATGTTCAGGTGTATATCAGTATGTAGTGTCTCTACTTTAAAGAGTCCTCTCCTGCTGATGTTCAGGTGTATATCAGTATGTAGTGTCTCTACTTTAAAGAGTCCTCTCCTGCTGATGTTCAGGTGTATATCAGTATGTAGTGTCTCTACTTTAAAGAGTCCTCTCCTGCTGATGTTCAGGTGTATATCAGTATGTAGTGTCTCTACTTTAAAGAGTCCTCTCCTGCTGATGTTCAGGTGTATATCAGTATGTAGTGTCTCTACTTTAAAGAGTCCTCTCCTGCTGATGTTCAGGTGTATATCAGTATGTAGTGTCTCTACTTTAAAGAGTCCTCTCCTGCTGATGTTCAGGTGTATATCAGTATGTAGTGTCTCTACTTTAAAGAGTCCTCTCCTGCTGATGTTCAGGTGTATATCAGTATGTAGTGTCTCTACTTTAAAGAGTCCTCTCCTGCTGATGTTCAGGTGTATATCAGTATGTAGTGTCTCTACTTTAAAGAGTCATCTCCTGCTGATGTTCAGGTGTATATCAGTATGTAGTGTCCCTAGTGTAGAGTCCTCTCCTACATAAATATACTGTATATGAGGTTATATCCAAAGACTGTATAGATATGGTCGAACATATAACCAGTCAGATGCATTGTGGGATTTCAGACACAAAGCATTCCTCCCGCTGGTGGAGCTGGTGCCCCCCCAACACTGAATAAAGGAGTCTTTTTTGAAGTATTTCTGTGAAGGTGAGTTATTACTGTAACTGGTCCTCTCTATTTGTCCTGTAATCTAAATGGAAATGCAGCACAGCCCCCCCACGGACTAATAAATGTAATGTCTCCTGTTAAAGAGAGTGTGTGTGTGTGTGTATGTGTATGTGTATGTGTGTGTATGTGTGTGTGTGTGTGTGTGTGTGTGTGTGTGTGTGTGTGTGTGTGTGTGTGTGTGTGTGTGTGTTCACGTACCCTGAAGTGCCCCATGTTTCCGTCGTCGAGCTCCAGGATGTAACCGTCCACGGCGATGGTGGACAGCGGCGGTTGTTTCCATGACAACGTGGCGCTGTTGTTCTGCGTGCAGCACTCCTCCAGCTGCAGCATGGGGGCCGCCGGGACTGATGGGAAATAATAAAACATCATATTACTGCACCGGGAGGAATACAAATCATATAATAAGGACCATTTTGAGGTAGCCTACCAGAGGTTGCATCTTGTAAGCCATGCATCACCTTCAGAGAGAATTTAATGGTGTGTTTTACTGCAAATGTTTAAACCATTTTCCATTTTAATTATCACATGTTATGCTTTTGTTATTTTCATTTTAATTTTGTCATTGCATTTTTTTACATTTTATTTTGTTGGTTTGACAAAGCATATTTTAAGGGTGTAAATTAAATGAATTTTTTTGATCAATTTAGGATTTCAATGTCATTTAATATTTAATCATGTTAGATAATTTAAAAGAAATGTATAATAATAATTAAAAAAATTAATACATTTAAAATTCAATAGAAAAAAACAGAAAAAAATGTTTGAAAAATAATAATAATAATAATAATAATAATAATAATAATAATAATAATAATAATAATAATAATAATAATAATAATAATAATAATAAATCAAAACAGAAATTGAAAAATTATTAAAAATGTGAAAATAAAAAAAGAAATAATAAAAAACACATGTAAAAGACACAGCTGCAAAAAACAATTGTCATCACAGGTAATATAACATCCCCACTCAGACAGACATATACATACACCCCCCCCCCCCCCCCCCCCCCAACCGAACACACAGTCAAACAGTCATGTATTTACCTGTTTCTGTCTGAACCCCCCTCCTCTCACCTTTCATCTGCACAAAGTCCAGCTGGTGGATGGTCTGCAGGAGGGGGCTGCTGTCCAGAGTCAGGTCGAAGTCGCTGTTCATGCGGGGGGTGAGGGTTCCCTTCCCCCACTGCCCCTCCGTCATGTGCACCCTCCGGATCAGAGCGTCCGAGATCTGAACACAACAACAAATCAATTCATTCACATCAATACAAACACCCTGTAGAATAGAATAGAATTGGAGGAATGAAACCCTCTTTAATGGTCACATATGCACAGAGGTGGGAAGTACAAATACTTCGTTACAGTACATGTTTCTAGTATCAGTACTTTACTCCACTACTTATTTTTCTGACGACTTTTTACTTTGACTTCTTACATTTTGAACACAAATACCTGTACTTTCTACTTCTCACATTTTGAACCCAAATACCTGTACTTTCTACTTCTTACATGGTTGAACACAAATACCTGTACTTTCTACTTCTTACATGTTGAACACAAATACCTGTACTTTCTACTTCTTACATGTTGAACACAAATACCTGTACTTTCTACTTCTTACATGTTGAACACAAATACCTGTACTTTCTACTTCTTACATGTTGAACCCAAATACCTGTACTTTCTACTTCTTACATTTTGAACACAAATACCTGTACTTTCTACTTCTTACATGTTGAACACAAATACCTGTACTTTCTACTTCTTACATGTTGAACACAAATACCTGTAACTTTCTACTTCTTACATGTTGAAACTCAGATACCTGTACTTTCTACTTCCTTACATTTTGAACACAAATACCTGTACTTTCTACTTCTTTACATTTTGAACACAAATACCTGTACTTTCTACTTCTTACATTTTGAACACAAATACCTGTACTTTCTACTTCTTACATGTTGAACACTAATACCTGTACTTTCTACTTCTTACATGTTGAACATCAAAACCTGTACTTTACTTCTACAGGTTGAACTCAATACCTTTACTTTACTAATGTGAACACAAACACCTGTACTTTCTACTTCTTACATTTTGAACACAAATACCTGTACTTTCTACTTCTTACATTTTGAACACAAATACCTGTACTTTCTACTTCTTGCATTTTGAACACTAATACCCGGTACTTTCTACTTCTTACATTTTGAACACAAATACCTGTACTTTCTACTTCTTACATTTTGAACACAAATACCTGTACTTTCTACTTCTTACATGTTGAACACAAATACCTGTACTTTCTACTTCTCACATTTGAACCCAAATACCTGTACTTTCTACTTCTTACATTTTGAACACAAATACCTGTACTTTCTACTTCTTACATGTTGAACACAAATACCTGTACTTTCTACTTCTCACATTTCCCAAACAGGCTGGTTCCTTTAGTTTGAATGTGTGTTTGGTGGCGTGATCATTATTATTTAGAGTCATTGCGTGCCTATTGATTTGAACACGATCCGTGTATCCATCATTTCCTGGTCTTCTCTAAAGAAGAGGGACCAATGAAAACGTTGTCATGTTGCCGTTGTTCAGCATGGAAACATTCATTAGCTAACAATGACATTATTGTTCTATTAATATAAAGGGAGGTCAGGTACTCTTTAAAACAGCTGCTAGTTATGGGTACTTTTTACTGAAGTACATTTCAAAGCCTCTTTACTTTTACTTGAGTAAAGAAGATTAGTCAGTACTTCTACTTTTACCAGAGTATTTTTAAACACGAGTATCTGTACTTCTACTTGAGTAAAGGATGTGTGTACTTTTGCCATCTCATAGCACACACAGTGAAATGTGTTCTCTGCTTTTTACCCATCCTAGTACTAGGAGCAGTGGGAGTGGGGGTTGTCCGGTGCCTTGCTCAAGGGCACCTCACTGGCAGTGTGTGTTACCTGCAGGAATCCACTGGGGTCGTTCTCCTTGATGACCTCCAGGCAGTACTCCATCAGGCCGGTGGTCTGACGCAGCTTCACCGTGCAGTGGGAGATCTGATCCCGCACCACCTGCAGGAAACACACAAATAACCACGGATGGTGTTAGGAAAAGATTAGGAAAATACACGAGGGATTCACGTTCTGCTCACAACAAGCACACAGAAGATAATCACAAGTTAATCACTCTTTCCTTTAATCACTCCGGTGTGCAACATGGGTCAAATGCACAAAGGAGAGGATAATAAATAGGGCAGAAGATGAGTGGGAAAACTGGAGATGCCTTCATTAAATAAATGATTTCCCATGCATGAACTTTTCATGGTTGCGAGTTTGCAAATTTGGATTTTCCCTTTTTTTTTTAATGACTATTGTTTGTAATTATGATTTAATATATTATTTATGTAAATGTTGGTTAGACAACGAATCTAAATCGTAATCTGAATGTCTTATTTATCCCAAGGTAAATGGGGTTTCCATGACGGTTTTAAAATAAAATAAAAAAGTGCGATAATAACTTTATGAATAATAATAAAGAAAAAAATAATAATAATAATACAAATTAAAATAAATACAACAACAAATAATAATACGAATAATAATAACTTATCTAAATAAATTGTGAAGCTGTCACTTAGGGCTCTGGGTATTGGTAAAATAAATAAAAAATAATATAATTAATAATATATAAATACAATTGAATACATTTAATCAATACATCAAAATTAAATGACAGTATAATGAAATGAGAGTAAATATGAACAAGGTTGCAGAACTATTGATGAATGAGGCAGAAAAGCGGAGTGGAGGAGAAATATGGACACAGAGAGAAGAGTCAAATATGAGTGAATAAAAGATGGAGGATGCAGAGTAAGAGATGAAAGAGGCTGTTGAAGCATGAAGAGAGAAGGAGACCTGCAGGGACACCAACAGTGAGATCAGCAGCCGGAGAGTCAGAGATTTACTCTTCCTCTCGTGCTCAGACTGAGGAGGACGAGGAGGAAGAGGAGGCTGATCTGTTACTGACGTGGCCGGAGGGAAAGTGACATTTTGTTTTTCACACGAGTGGTGAAGCTGTGAGCATCACCACGTACATCAGAGAGGCTTCTGTGCAGCAGCAGCAGCAGCAAAAAAGAAACATGAACGCAGTTTTGAATTCTCCTCAGAAGAAAAACCCCGTTAATAAATCAGTTTTTATTTCACCCCTCTCACTATTTATGACCTACACTCCTAAGTGTGCAATACAAATTAATTATTAATATCTTTAAATAAATACTAATACCCAATGGATATATTACAATATACACATTTTTACATATTTATTTGTATTACATTTTGTGGTAAAATACGTTACATTTTTCCTGTATATTTGTATTTGATGTATACATATTGACTTTAGTGTTATTATTTAATGTATTGTCAAATAAAGAAACTGTCCAAAAAACTATTTTCCTCGAGCTAAATAATAATATATTTGTTATTATTTACATATTTTGTTTACATATTTATTGTTTTTATATATTTAAGTACAACATGTGCATTTTTACACATTTAATTTCATATGGTTTTGAAATATTTGTATTTTAGTTTATTTTTATTATTTAATTTAATTTAACTGTGTGATTTTTAATTTATATTTAATTGTATTAAATGTTATTGTTACATTTTTATTTTAAGTTATTTGTATTTAATTTAAAGTGGACCTATTATGCTATATTGGAAACATATATTGTAGGGCCATACCTATACAAAACATGTCTGTGAAGTCTTTTGCTTAAAATACCAAACAGTTCCCCCATTGTAGCCATGCCTCATACTGCTCATACCCCTCTATTCCAGCCCTGTTAGAGAAACGCGGATTTTGGGTCCTTAGCTTGAAAAAAAAAAAATAGGAGGTGGAGCTAATGCCTGATCAGAATTCTACCGGAGATAAAGTTAAATTCTGCTGTGATAAAACGCCATCCTGTTCTAAACCACATCAAGGATTATTTCTGAAACAGTATGGAGCTCAAATGCTTTTTCTCTTACGGGTTTATCACAAGGTGAGTTCCTTTTTTTATTTCCTGCTTTTTAAACACATGTGCTCTCCAGTACAGGTTAGCTCTGAGTGTTAGCGACATGCTAATGTAAACAAAGACAAGATTACGTCCAAAACACGTCAGGCATTGTTTCTGATAGCAACTTTCTGTGGGTCCACCATCCGTAATATCGGCAGCAAATCTGGATCAGCTCGTTGTACCCCCGGTTTTAAAAGATTTGGGTACGGAGGAAAAGAGAGAGGGTTTTATTTTCTGACGCTGCGTGAGTTCCCCGACACACCGGGGACACATAGTTATGTATAAAAGACATCAAAAAGTGCATTTTGCATGATAGGTCCCCTTTAATGTTATTCATTTTATGTTATCTTATAAATCCCAATTTCCCCTTGGGGCAAATACAGTATTCTGATAACATCATCATAAATGTTACATTCTTTTTTATTTGATGTATTTAATTTAATCCTGCACTTTTTCATTTCTTTAGTCCTATATCTTAATTATACTGGATGTGACACTGTCTTTGAATCTGCAAGCGGTGGAGCAGACAGAAGGACAATAAAAGACTTGAATCTTGAATCCTAAACCCTCCTTTCTGAACATGCATCAACGTCTTTCCTAGATTTCTTTTGTGTTGCATCTTTGACAGATTTGGGAGATCCTCGGCACTCCTGATGTCCGCAGAGCTCCATCGCCTCGGAGAGAGATTATAAAGCGGGGGTGCTGGAGCTGGACTGAGGGTTGCTAGGAAACAGAAACTTCACTGTTGCTATCGGAGAGGAGAATCCTGTCTGCAGACGGACAGGAAACAGGAAGGAGATTTACTGACGGCTGCAGGCAGCAGAGTGAAATACTGCGCCACAGAACCGTTAACCATGGAGGGCGTCGTTAGGCAGAGCGCTATCTGAATTTATTATCACATTCATAATCAACCCCATTTATACATGTTTATATGTTTTTTTCTACTTAAATGTATCTTTCATTCGAGTATGATTTAAAACTTTTTAGACATATTTGTTTAATTTATTATTTAAATTGAAGTACATTAATATGCATGTGAATGTGATTGATTTTAATTACGTAATTGTGTTTGTACTACAACATATCAATAAAAAAAATCGAATGAAAATCGAGACATATTAGGTTGAACAAATATGATCACTATGTCTAAATCAAATTGTAGGAGATGTGCAGTTGTGGTAGTATTGTGCAGAAAGATGAAACGATTGTCATTAACCCCCATTGGCACTAAGACGATGTGACCTGAAATGAACCACAACGATGTGATGCTGTGATCAATCAGCTGCAGGCGGCTCCTCTCTGTTTAACAATCACTGTGTCCTCTCCACGCAGCTGAAATCACAATCTCCAAATTCATCGAGGATGATTCCTGTGCCGACAACTTTATCTCGTCCTCCTCCCTTTTCCCTTTCCTCTCGAACGCCCGCTGCATCCTGAGCAGCTCCTCTCTGCAGCTCCTGAAACCTGCTTTAACCCGTAAGAACCCGGACCCAGTTCTACTTTGGGGGAAATTAAGGGGAACATCATTTAGACTAAATAGACCACCTAGAACACATTTCTGACAAGTAACCCCCCTTTACATTACATTACATTACGTGTTACATGTTAGATGCTTTTATCCAAAGCGACTTACATACTCAATACTGTGGACAATCCCCACAGGAGCAATTTGGGGTGAAGTGTCTTGCCCAGAGACACAACGACATGCTGACTGCAGTGGGACTCAAACTTGCTATCCCCTGATTCGAAGTCCAGCACACTAACCACTGAGCCACAGCCTCCTACAAATAGCCTCCCCTTGTCTCAAATATCAATGAAAAGTGACTTATACAGTATGTCACTTTGGGCTTTAATGGTAAAGTAACTCCTATTTATAACTTATTTTTTGGGTTAAATTAGTTTGAACATTCTTTGAATTGAAGAATAAAGAATATATGAACTAAATATAATTGAATCAGCTAAATTAACTGAGCAGATCATAGTCATATTTATAGTTGTGCATATATGTCACTTTGGGTTTACTGTGAAAGTTTAGGGTCAAAGTCCCGATCGGTGTCACAGCGATGTTTGTCTCATTTGTTTCATATCAATTTGATCAATACACGTTTCCACAACAGGTTAAATGTAATAAAGGACATGTTATGTAGGCATTTTAATTCTTAAATGGCTTGAATTTTACCTTTAGCAACAACAAAAAAGCTTTTGAAATGTAGCTCGTTCTGTCACATGTGTTAGCCTGGCACATGGACATCTTGGACATGTTGTTATGGGAACACAAAGTCACATGACCTGGCCCATGACCAGAGTTGGGTGTAATAATATTACTTTTGTCGGTAACGGAGTAGTGTAGCGCGTTACTTTTATAATTCAGTAATCACACTACAGTTACTAACATTGCCCCGACACGCGTTACTTCGTTACTTTTATAAAATCAGTCATAATCACACTGACAGACAAGAGGGGTTTCCGCCGCAGGTTTATATGTACGTAATCTGCGCGACTTGCGCGTCCACATCTCCACGTGCAGTGCTGCATAAACATGGCTGAGTCAGCGATAACTTTCGAGGGGTGGAGGTATGCCCATTATTTTGAGTTCGTCCGAAGAATAGACAGGAATGTGACGGTGAGGTGCAAACTGTGTCCAGGCCAGAAGCTGTTATACACTGCTGCAAACACCACGTCAAACCTCAACAAACACCTGCAAAGAACACATGCTAAGGTGAAGCTAATAGCTAAGGACCCCCGAACCCAGAGTGAGGATGTTGTGAGTGCGCCGCCGCCGACTCCGAAGCAGCACAAATTAGAATTTGGAGGACCGGTAACCAAAGCAGAGATGGACAGGCTTGTAGCATCCTTCATAGTAGAGGTAATGTTGCCCATTTGCACAGTGGAATCACCATCGCATCGTTCAGAGATATACTGCGCAAAATACAGATAGCAGGAGACAGAGGACAGCCATGGTCAGAGCTATCTGGATCAGTCTTATGCGACAATGGAAACTGAACTAAAGAGAAC